CAATAAATTACATATGATTGGCCATATACAAAGGGATTGCTGTTAGGCGAGCGGGGAGCTGCGCTGCCAGGCTCTCTAAGGGCACTCACCATCCCAGGGCAAGACTGCAGCTGACATTTAATTTAAAAATCAAAGGTTGTTCAATGCAAAAAGTGAGCCCATGCGACCATAATAAGAAAAGCAGCGGGGGGCTCTGTGGGAAGGACGGAAATTTAAAAATCACTGTTTCTAATAAGCACATACAGTATCTTAAACAGATAATTAAAGAGCTCTTATCACATTTGTATGTAGATTGAACGAAATATGGCAAGATGCCTTGTCAAAACATTTTCCCGTGCAGTGTGCTACGCTCCACAAAATGGATGAAAGACTCTGACAGAATTTCGGAGCTCCCACCGCAGCCTCCCCAGCCACCTCACAGGCCTAGAGCACAGTGCTGACCTGCCGGGTTGCCACATCTGGCAGAACAACTGCCTAAGCAAGTCTGGATTATCCTCCTCCGTATTCCGCAGGCAGAGCAGGGACGGATGAGGACAAGCGAGTAGAACAGAGACCTCACGCCCGACTCAGCTGCATCCTAAGCAGCATCCAACACGTTGCAGCTTTCTGCATGGCTTGGTGATGTGACCTCACAGCTTCCCTTCTCCAACACGCTCCCCTGGCTAAAAAGCTGAGTGTGAAACATCTGCTGGAAAAGCCCTCTGCCTCAGGAGCCATGCTCGGGTACCTGGTCCTTGAGATGGGTCTCCGTGCAGTACTTCCATTGCTGGAACACCTCGGACAGTTTATCCAGGCCACCGTGGTGAAAGTGGAAGATCTTGTACTGGCTCTCCCTGCTCGCAACAACCAGCTGCCCACAGGTGCACGCCTCATCGCTGTGGGACACAACAACGGGGGAACAACCTGCATTTATTGCCCAGGATAACGGGGGCCAGCGGGAAGGGGGAAGGTCAGATGAGAGAGAGTGGGAAGCAAATTATGAAGAAGCGCAGCACCAAGCTGCCCCTTAAAACAGGGCGCAGAAGTAATTTTACGGCTCTGGGACTCAATGATCCTTAAGGGTCCCTTCCAGCTTCAGGTATTTTATGACTCTACATGGACACAGCGACCATTTTCCCCAGGAAGCTCCGCTCATGTCTGGTAAGGGCACTCTTTTATCCTTCCATCACGCGAAGGAATTAAATATCGTCCTCCCTGGAGTACAAGAACCCAAGAAGTCTTCCCCAGCAATGTAAAGACAGCCCACAGCCTGCTCCTAGGGATGAGTGGACTTGGTCGCACATAGCATTGTCTAAAGAAGCAGGGAGTGAGGGCAAAAGAGGGAGTAAAAATGTATTTAATAACTTCTGTAATAATTTGAAAGGTAACTGTAGAGGCTAAGAGCAGCAAGACCCTAGGGGAGCCCTGGTGAGGGGCAGGCAAGGGAGGAGGTTCCATAGATAAAGAGATGTTTTCCACACCTCTGGGATATTTTAAACATTTTTGGTAAGACAGCTAAGAGCAGTCTTTACCTTACTACAGAAAAAAGTCCTTTTAGGCCCCATAACTGTAATTCAGAGCCTCTCCTGGGGAAGGCTGACCCTTGCTTCCCTGGAGACAACCATCAGGGAAAGACTTCCGAGGAGGACTGCGGAAGCCATCTGCCTCCAGAGCCCAACGCGCACCGATGCAGAGCACACACACCTCTCACACAATAATACATTACCTAAAGAAGAGGCGAAGGGATCTCATTTGTCCCAGGTCCACTCTAAAGACACCACAGACCTGCTCGAGGGCAAGTACTTTCTGCTGTTCGTCCCATCTGGTGCTCTGCGTTTGCCCATTATTCTCCTGGAACTGGGCACTGGTGTCGAGGCTGGAGGCAGAGCTGGTGGAGCAGGTCAAGCGATTGTCACACGTGTCCCTGCAGACAGGAGCGTGGAGGAAGAAAACCCCGCGAGACATCAGCCAAGGACTGCAGTTACACGCAGGAACCACAGATGCTCCAAAAATCCTTTGACAGAGCTCTGAAACTGGAATTCAGTGCAGGTCTAGGAGTCAACAACTGACACCCCACGTAAGAGATCAAATTATTTTCTTTAAATTAACTCCCTCCTGTCCCAACAAACGATCCTATTTTTGGTCTGTTCCTAAATTGCACAGGTCACTGGGGAGAGCCAAAACCACTCCTCAAAACTCTGACTTCTGAGAAGGCAAAATGACAAAGCCAAGCGTGGGAACAGCCCGGACCGCTCCAAGGAACGGCCTGTGCCCTGCTCCTCCATCGCAGCACGAAGACCAGCCCAGGGAGCTGGCGCAGCGGGCACTGGTGGACCCCCAGCCCACACCACAGAGCCCTACGCTGCAGGACCCCTTGGAACCATTACGCCTCTGGGATTGATGACCCCTTGGGATGGAAAACGTTGGGCCATTGAAAAGCCATGACTGCAGAAGCACGAGTGCTGGACAGGCTGTTTCAGCAGCTCCGGCAGCACTCTGGGAATAAATTCCCAAGGAAGAGACTTCTTGCCCCATGGCTCAAGCAACCTCCTTGGCACGTAGCTCAGCCACTGCCACCCGGCCGGGCACAGGAGGAGTGGGAGCATTCAGACAGCACTATGGGATAGGGACTCCTTGGCAAATTCCTTCGGCCACCAGTAAGATCCAAAGACATTTCCCCTGAACTTGAGTTTCCCCTTATGCCCTTTGCAAGCGGACCTGACAAGGTCATGTGTGTAAACTCCAGACAAACGGTTTCCACTTGCAGACTTGAAACTTCGGGGAGTTAAGGAGTGGGAAATTACACAGGACTCTCTAACCCACTGCAA